AGTGAAGTACACGTTGTGCAAATATAAAATGGAGGTCGAGGGGCTAGACCAACTATCTGTCGCGGTTTGATCCACAATCTAGAATAAAATTGCGACTGTCACGAGGGCAATGATACGTGCAAGAGGTAAGACAGTGTTGTACATGGTCGAAGTCAGGGAATCAGTGCGTAAAATAGCAGAAAAACGCGTCGACCTCAATTATAAAACCCCACCCTCTCCCCATCTTCCGAATCAATAAATCGACAACGATTGGTCTAAAGCGCGATTTTAGGGTTAACAGAGGAGACAGCAAAACAGCATGGAAAGGGAGTAACTTTGAAATTCTGTCTATTCACGAACCTTTGAAGAAACTTCGGCGGACGGATTGGGTTCATCAATCCACGGATCCGGGTGTTTGAGGAGTTCCCGGATGTCTCTGTCCTCCCACAGCTCAACAAAGTACTAAAAACCAGAGCAGTAGGCTAATAAAGGAAGGAGTGTCTAAGAATACATATAAATAAGAACAAGGCGAAGATCACGAGATTAGCGGAATTTATTGAAGTCATACAATTTTGCGGCCTCTTATTCAGTTGCAAACGCTCATTGCCTACTAATAAGATAAATTAACTGTCCAACTAAATTACTTCACAAACATTTATGAATCGATTCGATGCGATTAAACCAACTGCAAACATCTGTATCAAGAGAAGTGCGCTTAAGAAAAAACACCGCAGCAAACGTAATACAATTCTCGCATGTAATATCAAGGAAGCCGGAGGAGTTGCGTTTACCAGCATGGTTCAGACGTAATCTTCGGTCTTGGTTGTTCCAATCTAGAACTTAGACTCCAGAACAGAAAAACGTCCAGATATGAGAAATTCACAAGAAGGTTGTTTTAAAACTGCTTATCTATGTACGTACACCGGAAAATAAAAGTGTATAGTGTTATAATGGTGACAAATGTGGTGTCACCGTCTAATTACACCCTTTGGAATCCCCAAGGAGTTATATAACACGAAGGGCGTGAAAGTCGAAGCCGCCCGAATGAGAGTTTATTGTGTACAAAACCCGGAGTCGTTGTCTAGGGTGTCAGTTGTGCCGCTGGCGTTGTCCAGGACTGAATGTCCCGCTGCCAGTTTGTGTTGCAACTCACTGTCTGAGAGGTGACAGTTGTTTATAAGTGATTGTCAAGCGCTTTCGCTTGTGGCATGGTTGGGCGCGTTGGACTAAGGTCACCTGCCGTGTGGCGCACCTAAGTGGCCCTTGAGGAACTGCGACTAGTTGGGCACGCGCGTGGGCTCGCGTGCGTGTGCGCACGTGTGAAAGCGGTCCAGTGGTTTAAGTTCATCGCATGGGAACAATCACAGTGAAGACACAAGACACTGAGGCATTCAGCATTGACAAGCAATCATTGTGGCAGTCGGCCACAGGCACGATGCGTCAAGACAGACTGCAACGTTATGCTGGCATTCGGTTAGGCTAGACTCCTAACATATAGTTATTGTCATATGCCTATTCATCAGCAAGGGACACAGTATACTGAACTAGCAGTCGTCTAAGTAGCTTGCAGTTCTAGGTGGCCGTTCGGCCTTACCACAATCGGTACTGTCCCGCGGGAGCAACCAGTTAATCGCATCGATTGGCTAACTAAATTGCGCGAGGTTAGCCGACGTGCAAGGAAATTCCTGGACCTTCCGTACCTTACTACAGTAGTCGGCGGTTATTAAGCCCACAGTTAATAGGCCCAGTCGCTTATTAAGCCCAATTTGGTCTGGGCCCGAGGTAGGCTTAATAACCGGCGACTACTGCATTGTTTAGTATTGTTACGGCTGTAATCATGCCTGATCTAGCCGGCCTCGATGATGTCCCGGATGGTAATTCTTTGCGCGTGACGATCCGTGGCAACAGACCTGGACAGTTCAATCCATTGTCTTCGCCAGCGCCAGAGGCCGAATACCGAAGGTCCAAGAAGCACTTCCATGCCCTGGCGGGCATTAAGCTGGACTACCGCTCCGCAATAACTACTTCATCTACACTAGCAACAGCCAACGCAACAACGGTCGACCCCCACTTTTAATATAAATGTAAAAAAAACATCCCACACGATCCACCTTTAGGTCAACTGCCACGAACGACGACAACGTCCAACGTAGGTCTCG